CCCCAGCGTCCCGTGTGTGGGGTCGACCGCGGGTATTCTATAGTTGTAACGTAGTAGACACGTACGCAGCTTTCTCTCTCTCTCTCTCTCTCGTGATATCTCTGGTGGTAGAGTCGTAGAGCGATCTATGCTGTATCCACGTAGTTCGCGTAGTTCACTGGCGAAAAGAAGGAAAAGCTGGAGTACTTTACTTGGCGTCAACGTGTCTCGCTAGTACTGCGTGTATATATCTGACTGTGGGATATGTACAATAGAAAGAAATAGAAACAGAGAAAGAGAGAGAGAGAGTGAGAGAATGATACCGATTCCATTTGTCACGTACCACCAACATTCTCTCCATTTCATTTTAATCCTCCTACTTCTATTTTCCTTTGTCAATCGATGTGCTTCGTCTGGCAAATGATATTTCGATATCCTTTATAAAACTTGCGAATTCTTCATTGTCTAGATCAACGTTTTATAGAAATACAGAAAGATAGAAAATGAGAGAAAGAAAAACAAATGTTAGGTAACGATGAATTAATTCATCGTTATTCGTCTCGAAGCATTCGTAAGAAATCACCGGATATTGAAAATTGAATCGACCTATATTCAATAACGCTGTTTCGTTATTAAACGTTAGTCCTTTCGTCTTAACGTCCATTTGTTTTTCTTCTTCCTTCGATTAGGATAACAGATAAATAATATATACAAACATAGCGAGTAAATCTATGCTACAACAGGTGTGTAAATCCGAAACGAAGAATAGGTACTTTTTGTCACGCATTAGACGTGGTTAGAAATGGTAAAAAGTCGAAATGGATCATTGAGAAGGATATAAATATTCAAATAATAAGTTCGAATACAAGCTAGGCTTTCGTAGTCATTTTTTGTCTTACTATATTTCTCTTTTTTCCCCTCTCTTTCTCTCTCCCATTCTCTATTCGTGCACAGGTGTGCACTTGCGGCCGGGGACACAGGTGTAGGCGGGAGAAATTATCGATTATGCAATCTCGTGGCCCAACGTGGGCCAGAAACTCGTACGCCCACGCGAAAAAAGATCTAACGTTCGTATAACATACTAACACGAGTGAATAAAAATATATACATATAAAATACATGTGCACACAAACAAAAACACTTTAGTTTTTCAGGGTCTATTTTTTAGCCACAGTACAGTTTCGTAATAAATATAAAATAATTTTAGAGCAGCTTCATCGAATTCAACCGACGTTAATTAGTCTTTTCTATCGTCAGGATAGACTTGAAGATTCATTCACAACCAGATTTTTTAATAGTCCTTATCTACAAGGACTAAACGTAGACAGAACTTTGTGGTCTCTATTTTTTACTTAAGAAGATATAATCGATGATGATATGTAGATAATACTGATCATTTGATCGATCAGTCTTTCGTCGGAAGACGTTTCTTCGTAATTAAAATGAGAACCGATATTATCTCGAATTCGAGGTGACAACAGAAATCATTATTAACGGCGTAATTGCTTTTGGATATTTTATCGAAATTTCATTACGTCGTCAAAACTATTTCATTCATTGTCTGGCACTGGGCAAACGTCTGCCTTTCAAAATTCACGTAAAAACAGTTACGTTGATTAAAATTAATAAGCTAGCATACGCGGACGTTATGATAATGTTGATTCTTTAATGAGTTGCTCAGTGACGTATCGTATGAACCGCGAGAGTACAAGAATTTTAATTGATTTCATATATATTTATGGCGGGTATATGTCATTACAGTGATGACCATTCAATGCGCATTAATGCCTCGTTTGTTGTTTAATCATTGAATAATTCGAAATTATATTATTTTGCAGCATCGCGCGTTTAATTAAAATGTTTATTTAAACCGCCGCGAAATTGATTACAGTTCTTTAGTATTAATAAACGATCGCTCGATAGAAATTTGTCAAATAAATAATTTATGCGTCAACATGCGGAGACTCACGGAATGAATATTTGCACGAACGATGATGCGTCTTTGTTTCATTTTTTAATCTTTTTGCCCTATGTAAAAGAAAGTGTTCATTAAGAAAGGAAGAAAATGAAACGTAATAAGTAATCTAGAAAATGTATCAATTTTTTTCTTTCAAATTTAATTGTTAATTCATACTTACAACGTATATTCATAATTTTATAATATAATTTCAATACTACATAATTTTTCTTAAATACGAAAAAAAAAATATGAAATTTGTGATGTTATCTAGAAAGAAAATGTTTTTCTCGTCTCGATCGTTACTTCGTGATCCAGTGATCTGATCCACTATGAAAGAGCGTTTACTTTCAATGCTTAATTCGCGATGACGCAGTAAACATAGACGGGCCAATCAATAATCACTACGTCGGAGTGTCCAGGACTCGCGACACGTCGATCTATTTTTCATCGTTACTTTATATGTATATATATATATATAATATCAACTAACTAACGAATTCACTTTCCTTCAAATATTTGAATTTATTGAATTTCTAACAAATCCAACGGTGGCTCGTCGTGTTTATGGATAACTCTCATTTAACGATAATTCTTAAATATCTTACAGAGTTTATTTATCATAGATGATGTGTTCTTCTTAATGAATAATTTTAATCGTCGCATAAATGTAATATCTAAAATAAACACTTAACCATTCTTATATTCTCAAACAAACGATTAATCCTCCATAACTCGAAAAACGATAATGCCGAGAATAAAAAATTTAAAATACTCTCATTAATCTGGACCCTCTTCGATATTCCGTATGAATGCTGGAAAAAAGTAAAAGTCCAGAAAAATATTCAAGATGAATAATATTCATCGATCCTTGAATAATTATCATTCAAATGATGAATAAATAATTGATCTAAGATATCAATTACGTGGATATGGATAATTAATATTACGAATGGAGAGAGAGAGAGAGAAGTGGACAGGAAATAAAATTGTGTTTGCATATGATTAAAGATTAAAAGGGAAAGAAAATTTACATATTTTATCGTAATTAAGATTAACGTGCGAATTAAATTAATAAAGAAGTTATATTGAAAAGAATTGAAAACATTAAAAGCACAAAAGAGAAAAAGGAAGAAATAGAGAAAGAAAAAGAGAGAGAGGGAGAGAGAGAAATAAGGAGAATAAAAGAAAGAGAGCGATGAAAAGAACCGAAGAGAAAAATCAAAGAAAAGAACGATTACGTCGGATTCGCGTTATCGGGCGTAACAGTACGGCTGTAATCTCATCTAGGCACTCAGCTCGTAGCGACGGTTTTTATCCTATTACGTCACATGAATAAACTAAAGACCTACTGGAGTTCTCCGACGTTCGAAGAGGGAGAAGGAGAAGGAGATGAAGAAGAAGGAGAAAGGAACATCGTGGTGGTTCCGCACCGGGGCACGTTACTCTCTGTGGAACCTCGTGTGTTTTGAGTCGCTGATCTTTCGAAGTAGAAAGAACGATTCTCTCTCTCCCTCTCCCTCTCTCTCTCTCAATGTGTTTTTTTCATCCGTCAAGAAACATCTTTCGTACCGGCAAAATTGCTAAACTTCGATTGATTCTGTTTAGATAGAGAATTCTACTACCACTTATCTTTTCTTTTCTTCTATTTTCTTTCATTCTTTTTTCATTTCCTCATGTATGTAGATTTCTTCGAAAAAAAGGGCTTTCTTCGTTACCACGTTTCAGCTCGTGCACTTCCTTGAATATTTCATTAGAAAAACACTCGACGATAAGTCGTTCTCTACCTTTTTACGTTCCTCCCCCAATATCCTCGATATCGTATCGAAGAGAAAAGCCAAATAGATTTATGGAGTCGTTACCAGTCTACGTTGGATGTTGCACGATTAGATTTATTTTACGAGGAAAGATGAATTTTATGTTATCTTAATGGGACATCATTGTCTTACTCTTATGATGTAGCTTATAAAAACTTAAAACGATATTATCTATGAATTCTTTTTTGTATCCCTAAATGATTTTAAATGAACCTTCACGATAGATTTAACGAATTAAAAAAGCACTTTATATATAGATCTAGTAATCAAAGACAATGGCATATTTGTAATTTAGTTATCTCCTTCTATTGGCTGCAGACCGTAACGATTGATTTTCTTATCTAACCAGTAAATATCTATCTTATATATAATACATATCTATAACTTTTTACCGAACGTTATTGCCGGATGTTATTCAAAAACAGCGAAAAGCGTAATAACAGGGAAGAAAACAACGTGGTTCTCGACGGAAATCGATCGTTACGAGTCGTAAAGAGAAAGAATAGAGGATAGAAGAAGTAGAAAATGCAGGGTGAGCGAGCGGTGAATTATGTGACGCGGGAAAGTGCTACGGAGGAGAAGGAAAAGAAAAACTTTTCTATATGCTCCTTTTTCACTTTTTCAAACGTTTCGATAAGAACAAATACCGTATCTCTATATTTCTCGACACGCGATCAAGAAAATGTGGTCATTATCTAAATACGATATTAACATTTCTCAAAAGGGTATATTTAAAATGATATATTTAAAATGATTAAAAATATGCTTTTGTTGAATTATATCATTCTATTGATTCTATGCACTTATATTGTTAAATATAATCAATATAATATATTATTTTAATATAATTAATGCACTTATATTGTGTAAAATATATTTGTTATAAGACTTCATAAAATTTACTTTACTGATATTTTTGTAAGAATTAAAAATTAATGCTGTTTTCTGTGTCTATTATGCAAAAATAATTATCTACAAATATGTTTTTTTTACTGACAAAAAATAGATTAGGAAGCATATAAATAAACAAGAAAAGCTAAAAATGATAAACTAATGATAGATAAGAAATCTTTAAAAATGCAAGCATAAAACAATGTTTACATTATTTATTATTAATATCAAGATATTTCAGACAGACGATTATTTTTTGCAGATTTCGAAATACACGGTGCCATCGTAGTACGAAAAACAAGACTTTAACGAAGGTAGAGAAAAGAATGAAAAAAAAGGATTGATGAAGGACTTACCGTAGGATTGGGCATACAGCGTCGCGGCGGCGGCGGCATGGGATCCGGCGCGGCACGATATGGTGGTGGTGAATATCTGCCCGAAGGGAAGCAACCGGGGGCGGTAATCGGTGCCCCATGGAGTCCCTTGCTTCCCATCATCTTGTCCGGCGAGTACATCATCCTGCCGCTGCCGGTGATCGGTTTTCACCGATTCGCCTAACACCACACGCGCGCGCGCGCACACGTTAGGCCTAAAACCGGCGGCAGCTCGAGACAAAACGATCGCACCAACACCGACGACCGTTCATCAACTGTTTTCCGAGGATTCTTTGCATCTGTGAAAGTCCGAAATTCTAAAGTCTACAATCCGAATTTCTTCTATTTTCCTTTCTCTCTCTCTCTCTCTCTCTCTCTCTCTCTCTCCCTTTTTTCTCTCTTCTTGGTTTCTTTAGTTTAGGAGACCGTTTTATTTATATTTCAGCTTCTTCTTTGTTTTTTTTCTCGTCACGTTGCCAAGTCCCGCATTCTCGATTAACGAATTAGTCTATCCAACCGAGCCGACGTCTGACGAGACGTCGACTTAAACTCCTGCATGATGCACACCACGATCGAGCACGATCATTAAGATAGTCACAAAGATCCTTCGCGTCACCTTTATTCTTATTAATGGATGTATTCACTCTTTTTCAACAAACGACAACTGTGTGTCTCTCTCTCTTTCTCTCTCTCTCTCCCTCTCTTTCTTTCTCTTCCTCTCCCCTCTCTGCGTATGTCTCAAAAATCGATCGTTCGTGTGTCGACGGGTGAATAGAGATAATTCTTCAACGTCGATTATAATCGACAATGATCTTTTATTTATTTATTTTTTTTTAACTTAGTCTTGAAACAATGTTAAACACATCAGAGTAGCGAGTGTTGATTCGAAAGGAAGCCACCGGTAAAGCAATCGTAGAAAACCGTGGCTTGGATCGCGCAGGACCGTACGTGGATCTTGTCCTAGAGCTCCGCACTTTTTGGCGCTGACTGGCCTGCGAAGAGTGCTCTGCGGATGAACTCTTCCAGAGAGGGGGAGAGATTCGGCGAAGGGTGCTTCTCGAAGGGGTGGTTTACTCCGGGTACCAGTGGTAGTGGGATGGAAAGTACGGGACGGAGCAAGGGGTTGTCAAACCGCAACGACGAACAGAGGGCGGAGCTACGTAACGTTAGCGCATGCGTTTGATCCCTATAGCATGGTCGGCCATCTTTCTTCCTGCCTTCGTGTGGGTGTCGCTAACCGCGACCACCCGCTTCTCTCTTCGCATCCACCTCTTCGATCCAGCAGCCCCACCTTCCTGACGTCTCTCTTTCTCTCTCTTTTCCTCTTTCTTTCTCATGAAACTCCAACCCCATTCCTGTTGAAACCCTCCACCAAGAGACTACTATGAGAAGCAACCAACCTTACCCCGTTCCGGTGTCTCTTCGTCGACACGAGGATGCGGTCTTCTACCTACTTTTATTGCCCCACCTTTAGGCTCCTCTATGAGCACGCGAGATCCGGTCGACTGTACCTACCGGACTAAATATACACGGACAGAGTGCGTGGCTGACTACTCGCAGCCGTATCTACTACTACAACTAGATTAGTGGTAACTCCGAGGAAAGAATTCTTCCAACGAGTCTAACTTAACTTTCTACCTTTGTACTACTTTGAATTTTCTTGGAACTTGACGCACTTCGAAAGAAAAAGTAATATCGGTCGATTAAAACGATAGAAATGATCGAGAAAAATGTCCGAAAGTCCGTATCCGTACTTTTTCTTACCAATGGGCTATCAATTATTTATCCAACGGATTCCAATCTCGCACGATCGCCGGCCCTTCGATAGCAATCCGAGCTCCAAGGGTGAGCAATTTAGGCGGGCCGTTAAGCGACTTATTCGTCGGTTTCCACGGACGGCGGTCAAACGTCGTTCGTTATTTTCATCGGAAGGCAACCTTGGGGAATAGCGACGCTTCCAAGTTAGGAATACCAGCTAGAAAGGACGGGAAGGACAGTGCCGCGCTACTGACGGTAGTAGATGGAAGAAAGGATGAGATGGAAGAGATAGACTAACATAAGAGAGAGAGAAAGAGAGACAGAGAGAGAGAGTGAATGAGAGAGATGAGTAGGAGGGGGAGAAGAGAGGGCCTCGACAGCAGTCGTTTTCCGAGGGATGTTGGCCGGAAGGTTCCCGCGGGGCCTGTGTTATCGCCTCGGCAGGATGACCAGCCCGCGTTATCAAATATTAAACCTACTTGCACCGGCAGCCTATCCTCGACAAGGTATCCAAAGCCTCCCCCTTTTCGTCCTCCGTTAGCCTCGCACCAACCACCACTGGCTACCGCCAAAACCTACACCCACTTCCAACCACCCAACCATCAGGAGAGAGAGAAAGAGAAAGAGAGAGAGAGAGAGAGAAAGAGAGAGAATTCTACACTCTCTGGTCTATCCGGTCTATCCGTGCTTATGTTCTTGCCATTGTGTTGTTGCTGTTGTCGTTGTTTGCCCGCAACAACGAGAGAAATCCACACTAGGCCCGCGAAATTGCTTGCCCGCAACCGTTTCCACTGGCCTCGAGGTAAACCGGTAAAAATTGATTTTCGAGCCCGCCAAGGAGAGATACACAACGCGACGAAAGTTCGAGGCCAAGTCGTAGAGGTTCTCCACCTTGGTCCTAAGGTTTCTTCTGATGGAACGATAAAAGTCCAAAAGAAAGTTAACTGGAACTTTTTCTTACAAGTTTGATAGTTGACAAGACAGATGTTTTTCTTTATTCTTTATTTCTTTTTCTTCTTTTTTTTCTTTTTTTATTTTCTCATTTTTTTTTCTTATTCGTTTTGTTTAATGATCTATTGAATATCGTTTACTCCTATTAAAGAACTAAATATATATGTAAATAAATTTATATGAAATATTTCAAATAATCGACCTAAAAAAACGTTTGCCTCGAAAATCATCAAAGTACAATTTTTTTGTTCGTACAACACGATATCTTCGATGTCGAACAACAAATAAATTATGAAGGAACTTGGAAATGTACTCCCTTTCTAATTACAACCCGATACTCCGTGATTCGAGGTAGCAACAACTCCGTGGTAAAAATAGCGGTGGATGTCCATCACGTTTGAACGTAGAACGATAAAAAAATCGAATATATTTGATAGCTAGGTACGTATAACATGGTGAACTATGGAAAGTGTACCGTGAATAGTTGAAAAAGTATCGTGAGCGTTGAAAACCGCGACATGTATCGAAAGACTGAAATTCAAGTAAAAAAAACAAATTTTAGATAGATGTCGATTGTGAAGTTATCGAAAACTTCGACCTCTAAAAAAAGTTCATCATGAAATTTTCAAGTGAAAAAACTATTTACAAAATAATATTCTCAATTTAAATATCCATTGTTCTGAATTTTGATTTAATTTTATTTCTCCTTTGTTAACAATGTTTTATTTGTTTAAAATTATCGTTTTCCCTTAAGCATTTCTTTCTTTCTTTTATCTTATTCTTCTTTTCTATGCAAGCTCGGACTACTTCTTTATCCTCTGACCTCGCTTTTCGATGACAAAGCAAATTGTGTCCTGCGAATGGATTTGACGTTGTATAACGTGGATTCGCTAACGCCAACTTCCATGAGGCTTTTGAATTAGCAAGAAAGAGAGAGAGAATAATAATAACATAGATTCGAAATAAACCGGCGTGGTAGTTCGAAGCGAGCTAAATGAAAGTTACCCGGGAATTACGCAACTGTAATACCGCATATTTCCAATCAAGCTAATGAGTATAATCGGCAGCCGTTTCGCTGCGGGGTCTGTGGGTAGATTCGCCCTGGAAATTCGAGGGATTCGCGTCCTGTCGTGTCGTGGGTAAAGGGTAAAGGTAAAAGGGCTCTCCGGGTCGTGTATTTGCTGTATGCAAACTGGAGAAAACTTTTTTTTCCCAAATCATTGTACTTTTTTTATCGACGAGTATCAATCAACTAGTTACTAAATTATTATTGTGTCGGAATCACATGGTTTCCTCTTTTTAAAAATATATATTTTTATATAGTATTTATAATATCAAAAATAAATTATCAGTTACGATAATTCGTAAAATATTTTTTTTTCACAATTTTTTCATACATATATTCAAATAGGAATATAGTTCACTTTACGCTCTCTCTCTCTCTCTCTCTCTCTCTCTCTTTCTCTCTTTTAATGATAAACTTCAACGAATAAACACGCGACAGAATCGTATAAGCTCTCTCGTGATTATACGAATTAGAATCATGATTATAGAAATAATGAAAGCGATCAATGATCACACTCAAACCGTGCGCGTAATAAATCAAATGAACGATAAATTTCATTATAACTTGAGTAGATACAATGATACCAGATTTGCAATAAACGAACTCATTGTCAACTTACGTTAACAGTTGTAACAAAAACGTAAATAGATTTACAATAATTAATAGAAGAAAAAACATATGGTCTAGAATCATATTTCATTTAAATCCGAAATATCATCGTTACTTTCGATGATGCGAAAATAAAAATCAACATAAAACATTGCTCCATCGAAAAAAAAAAGAATTTTAATAATAAACACAAAATAATTTTCAATATCATTCAAATCAAACACAATTATTTTCTTTAACATTATTTCTTATCGTCAAAAATAATGAAAATATTTGAAGTATTCGAGTTAGGTGGTACATCCTATATGTATATATGTATATTGTATTAGCTTTCCGTACATTACATTCTACCTCGTTGCATTGTTAGTAACATATAACGTGATCGCATTGCATGGATCAAATCAGAATTTTGTTTGTCCATTTCCCAACTATTTGCGAATTTCATGTCTTGATCGGCTTAAATGCGCGTGTTTCATCTGCTATTCCTTTATATAAAGGGTTTATCTTGCGTATCTCTCGCTGGACGATAATCAGATTTATCGGCCCAGGAAGTATTTTCAAATCCCTTTACTTTTTTACTCGATGCCGCGGCCCACGGATAAACAGCTTTCGAAGGACGAATTATTTACCGTTCGAGGCGAGCACGTTACGCTCCGTTTCAAAGAAGATTCGAATCCATCTCGTTCCGCATTTCGAAATATATATATATATATATATTCGTTTCTTCTTGGTCAATCTTTTCCTAGCTATATGTTCTCTATTCTATATTCAATAAATATACACATATTATATGCTTTTTAGTGAATCGTTGAACCGTAATAAACGTCGATACATTCGTTCAACACTTCTACTAACTGTAAGATCTGCCCTTAAGAAGACATAGTATGAAAAGATTTAATGTTGAATTTTGTAACTTATATTTTATTCTACATAGCATCAACATATCTGTATCTTTGTAGCATTTAAATTTTCTTATTCTATGTATCACATATGATATACATTACAATATTACTTAAATTTATATTTTTATTTATTATTGTATGCAAAAATTAAACTTTTTCTTAGTAGAACACATGATTAATAATATTATAATGCATTTACTCTAGCAATGAATATTTTCAGTAGAGAGAAAAAAGGTGTAAGATAATTGAAAAATTAATGACAAATTAATAAAAGTCAGTTAAGAATAAATTCTACCGAGACACATAGAACCATGATAAGAAATGCTTTTAATAGAACATCAGCCATCAGGACAATCCAAAGAAAACTCGACTCGCACTTTTAGCCCGGATCTCATATAAAGTATTTCACGTAAGTTTTAGCATCGGATGAGGACAATCACATCTTGTCTGACGAGTCAATGTTCTTTCCACTTAAAGCACCAGCGCTAGAAACGGCGATCGAAGTCGTCTGGTTTTACATCAGAGTAGAGAACGATCTCATATATGTGTTTCATGTAAAATATGCCCCAAGCATTGACGGCTAAGTTACCTCGCGACGAACACCCTCTTTTGCCACCCTCAACTACCCCCCCCCAAACACCCACCCACCACCTAGTCACTCTCTACAACGTTACACGTTGAACCTATCCGAACGTGCACGGTTTACACGTCCATGAAGCTAATGTTTACAGTGTTAGGTCTATTGGATTAGCCCATACATAAAGCACCTCGTTCTCTTTGATATGCACATACGTGCATATCAAGAGCTCTCTCTTTCTCCCTTTCGTACACTCACTCACATTCCATACACACACCAACATATACTTGCTAAATGAGCGTGCCGCGTGATCGAGCGTGCTTTCATTAGTTAAGCTCAACCCCGAGAGACGATCACACCAAGAACCAACGTCGTTCGAACTTTCTACCTTCTATATCGTTATAATAATGAACCTTTCAATTTCTGTGTAATTTCTATTATTATAAAATATAATATTAGCTGAAATTTACTTATATTATAGATTTTCATGATGATCATCATCATCATCATTATTATGATTATTATTTTAATTCCTTTTTGATAATTTGATTTACTCGATTTTACTTCATTCCTAAAGGATTTTTCTCAATTAAGTATGAATTAGTTTTCCTGTTTATGTTAGTGATTATTATTCTGATTTAATCATTTCTATTTTTATATTTTATAAGCTGTATCGTCCAGCTCCAGGCAGGGTCTGACAAATCTCAGAACGCAGTCCTATACGTTGTCCTATATTATTTTTCTCCATGATTCCTGGGTTTACCTTCTAGCCGTTTCTTACTACAAGCAAGGATCATTAAAAAAGAATTCTTAACCCAAGGGGTTATTATTATTATTATTATTATTATTATTATCATTATTATTATCATTATTATTATTCTTTCTAATATCTTCGAATTAGAGTAATCATCCACATATACAGGTTAGTACAAATAAAATGGAAATATATTATATTTATGCCAATAAAAGTTTAGAAATTTTCTTCTATTCTAATATATTTTTTTCATTATTTATATTATTATAATTATTAAAAAAAATAAAGATTACAGAGAGATATAAGCAAAAAAGTTCTTTCAAATATTTATAAGATTTGTCCATGAATGTTTAAAATATTGATTGAATTCTTAAATGTTGTTTTGTTTTTTGATAAAAAAAAATGATGAAAATTTGTTCTACACTCAACGCTATAAGAAAGATGTTACTTTGGGAGAATCAGACGTTCTTATCTTCTTAAAAAAGTTATAACGAAAAATTGTGCTCGCGCGAGCTATTTCTCTCGTTCGTTTCTTTTCAACATCCAAAACGTAAGGCGCACACGCTTTCTACCAATTGGTCCGACTAGTAGGGTAGAAGATCGTGAACGGAGATATGAGCCCGCGTTCTCCGCATATAGGGAATTTCCTCTTTCGTATCCTAGCAGATTGAAACATTGCTCATTCAAGAATCGCAATGATCGTTAATCTTGCACGAATTGTACTACCTATCTCTCTTCTTCTATCCTTATCTCTCTCTTTTTCTCTTTCTCTTTCTCTTTCTTTTTCGATAATTACGAGAGAATGTATAAGCTTGGAAATTAGCCCTCTAACTATCAACACTACTAATTGTTAAAATAGATCCCTTTTAGGTATTATGTTAGTATTATTAGCAGTTAAAACATAAAGTGTCAACGTTTCATTATAACTTATTATATTTTTTCATCACCTTAAGTTTATTGATAAATTAATCAGTAATATAATATATAATACTATTATGTATATAAATATATCACATAAATATATTGGTTTCCAGAAAAAATCGCATCGATTTTAAAAAAATCATTTAAAAGTAATACTTTTATTTATTTATACAATCGATATGTATTTTTAATTTAAATATTTTACTTTTATTAAATAGAAATAAAATTGAAATAAAGAAAAATTATTAAATTAAAATATTTTTTAATAAGAATATATATGTATTATTAAATCGGCACGAACTTTCTGAGTAATACAATCGTCATTATTTATTTAAGAAAATAAGAACATCCGATTGTTCTAAAGTAATATATTTCTTACAGTATTAATGATGTATATATATACCATAAAGTATATCACAAAATAGTATTATTGTACTTTGATAAATCAAATAAATTCCTACGGTGCAGATATTTAAAGTACTTTAAAAGTAAGATATCAACATTGGTAATACCTATCTGTTTTCTCTTCTTTTTTCTACAAAATTTTGAACAAAATTTTTAATAATAAATTAAATAACTTTTATTTTTTTTTAATTACTACACCTTATTATATATATATATAATTAACAGCTCTATCAAACTATTACAAAGAATCTTACAATGACACGAAAAAAAAAGTGTAACTTTTTTTTTTATCAATTTCTCACTCGAACCATCGTGAAAGTTTTCGAAACTCTAGATGTAATCAAATCGGCGGTAGGTATTGGCATGGCTAAGAAAAGGGTCGATTAAATTCACGGTTACGCGAAGTTTGTGGCAATTGAAACGGAGAGCGGGTCAAACTAGTTCTAAGGAAAGAAGTGAGATGGAGAGAAGTAGAAAAAGAAGTAGAATGAAAAAGAGAGAAAGAGAGAGAGAAAAGATAAGAGGAGAACGGGAAGGAGAAAAGAAGAAAAAGAGTCTGGATCGTAGGGAACACGAAAAGAATCCACGGGAGAAAACGACTGGATGTTGCGGAGGATACAGAAGGAGTACAAGGAAAAAGAGAAAAAGAAGAGATGAGAGTAGTGGAGGAAAAGGAGGAAGAGGTAGAGGTGGAGGAGCAAGAGTGAAAGAGGAAAGTCGAAACCCGCGCTAAGGAAACATAAGAGCGCGTTCTACCGTACAATACACGCGTAGGAACACGCGGGCTTTTTCTCTGGCACGTAGAGATATATACTATATATATAAAGAGAGAAAGAGAGTGATATGCGCGCGAGCGCGTACGAGGGAAAAACACGCGAGTACCATGGACCGTTTTGCACGTACGTTTCACGAAGAAGAAGAAGAAGAAGAAGAAGAAGCAAAAGGAGAAGGAGGTGAGAGAAGTGTGAGAGAAAACACAAACGAGAAAGATACGGATACGTAACACATACATACACATACTCACACATAAGAGAATAGACACAGAAGAGAGTACAGACACATAGATCGCATACTTATGCCGTCGCTGTGCACATAAAGTTAGGGGGCCGCGCGTTCTCTCTCCTACGTTGCCGCACAAGAATAAGAAACACGGTAGCATACATAAACAAGGAGGTTGGGGATGCAGCAATTTAAAACGTACCCCGGAATTCCTCCCAACGGGGCCGTAGAGCGGCCCTCTATATTACGAATTCCCCTCCTCTTCCTCTTCCTTCACCTCCTCAACCTGCTCCTCCTCCTCCTCCTCCTCCTCCTCCTCCTCCCCCTTCTCACCCTTTCTTTTTCTCGTTCTCTACGGCATCCACGGCTGCGAAATTTCGGTCGTATAAGAAGATCGAAACTGCTCGCGATAGCATAATTTCTTCTCGATTTCATCTTGTTCGTTTGAACGTAAGTAGTAGAACATAGTAGTCGATAAAAAAAAAAAAAAAAAGACAAAAAGAAAAAGAAATGAGAGTAAAATAATAAAAAAGAAGAAAAAATCTAGGAATACATGTAGAAACGATCTACGTAAAAAGAGCTTTTTTTTAGCTTATTATTAAACTTCCAAGGCATTGTCGAGTTCTACTCGATAGATCCCGACTAGTACGAGAGCTTGTAATAAACTTTTATGAGACGTTAACCGCGTATAATATCGGAGTAGAAATCTTTGGCCTTATACGATGACTCCCATTATGCAGATCCTACATCTACGTCTATGTCGTTGTCGTTGTCGTCGTCGTCGTCGTCGTCGTCGTCGTCGTCGTCGTCCTCGTCCTCGTCGTCATCGTCTTCTTCTTCGTCGTCGTGGCAATGCCGCGGATAAGTCAAATAGCGATAACAATGGCGGGAGGGAATTTGAAGTTGTGCGGCTCTGAACGTTCTGAAAGCAGGGCGATTGGCTGTTTGAACGGCGGTGTCGCCTCAGGCTGCCGTGTTTGCAGACATAAGGAAGTCGAGGTCGGTTGGTGTGTTCTCTCTTTTCCTCTCTCTTTCTCTTACCTCTGTTGAGTGCGCACACGCGACGACTTTGGACTGTAGAAAGAGAAAGAAAGTGGATGGAGAGGGTACAGAGACGAGGGAGTTCAATTGGTGGCGGCAATCCTAGTAATGTACCCGTGGGGCTGTGTCAAAGTGCCTTCTAGAAGAGAACGATGTTGCATTCAGCATTCTAAAACTTCTTTCTTGCTACGCGAAAGGGCCGTAAGCTCGAAAAAAGAGAAAAAAAAAGAAAGAAAGAAAAAGAGACAAAATATTCCTATTCTTATACCAACGATTTTATTCGAATTTCCACGCGTAACCCGTTATTTATGTTTTCAGCATAAACTGAACTATCGAAGAAACATCGACACTACAGAGAATGACCGTGATATATATATGGATATATATATGTATATACCTAGCATAGAAATTTCCAAATTCAAGGAAAATGATACATACATATCGTTGAAGAAGACTCGGCAAGAAAGAAGTTCGATGCTTCTTACGTTCACACCTTCTTCCACGAAGTATGGCAAACTTTTAAAAAGGCGACGATCTCTTAATAATACATGTCGTGGTGGTAGAAGCGACCGGTAAAACAGTTATAAAAACAGCGGTAACTACGTTAGAATCAATTATTTAAGATGCAGAGCTCCGTAAAGAGAGAGTGGAGCAGTCGTAAAGGGGGTGGAAGAAAGTAATGCCGTTCGTGGAAAGATGCTGGTAGCTCAAGGCAAAGAAAAAGAGTGAGAAAGATAAGATAGATAGAGAAAGAGGTAAAAGAAAAGAGAGGTAAGATGGCTATCGCGGGAATTATAAAGGCCGTAGTTAAAAGTTGCTTCGACTATCAGGGGACTGACCGGCTGGAGACGAGGTCCAAGCATTATTGTGAGATGCTTTCGTTTCGAGTGAACTTCAAAAAGTTAGAAAAACATTTGATAAACCTTTGAATACTCGATAGAATTCGAGAGAAACAGAGACGATCGATTAGAAATCTCTTCCGATCGATTAATTCTATTTAAAATGAACTTTAATCTTTACGACGAAGAAGACGTTAACGATTTTGACGTAGTGATCGTTGGTGCTGGTTTAACGGGCCTTACCACCGCATACAATATACTTAAAAGGAAACCTTCTTTAAATGTACTAATCATCGAAGGAACCGGTAATTCATTTATATATTTCTCATATTTTCGATCGAAGCAGTGTCAGTATACTTTCTTACAAGTGAGATTCCTTCATCGTAAAATCTTATACGTCTTTTATATCTTTACGATTACTACAGATAAAGCCGGGGGACGCGTTTTATCACAGAATTACAGCGAGACCTTTTACGCCAGTCTCTTGCAAAAGCATATCACTCGACTTATCCATACACTGAACATAAATACTTGCTCGAGGCAGAACATAGACTGGTCTGGAAAAAAAGTGTTTTTTACAAAAAACGGTCCCGTAGAAAAATTGCCAACTTTATTTGCAGCTGAAGTTCGTTACTTTATTCAAATGGTAATTATTTATTTGAATTTTTTTTTTAAACAGTATTCAAGGTTCTTAATTCTAATCAAACATAAAATTTCATACGATTCTTTTCTAATGTGCTCAGATTCAACAAAATTCTTTGAATCCATGCTTCAAGACGTACGTAAAGAACAAAATTACGCATAAATTAGCTACAACCAGCGTCGATAAATTACTGAAGAAACTTGTGTTCTTTTCCAATGCCAGATCAATATGCAGTTCATTTATCTATAGTACATGCGGTAAAATTTAATATTTCTAATAAAATTCTGACACACACACATTGTGACATTTCAATCGATCTTTATCTACTGGATCCTTGCAACGTATATTCATTTATCAGGAATGAGAGATCTTCGTAAGCTATCAGCGTTATGGATGCTTGTAATGTTAAATGGTGCAGGTGGATTGCTCAATCGACTAAAAGTCACGATGGGAGATGAAAGCCGTTACTTCATTCAAGTTATTATAAATATTCTTACAATTAAAACGTTTATATAAATTACAATGTGTAAATAATTTCTCGATATATTATTTTTTACATTTAAACAAAAAAAAAAGATTACCCCATTTGACAGGGTGGAATGACGCAATTAACCGAAGAATTATTAAACCATATACTATCTGAAAATGGCCATATTATTTATGGTGAAGTTGTTACGAATATTCAATTCAGTGAGGACAGGGCTTATTGTTATACCACGCGAAACTGTTTCAAGTACGTTTAAAAATAGTGTTATCGTTGAAGAATTTATTAATATTAATCATCGTGCTAACGCGCGTATTTAATTGATCAGCTTTTTCCGTAAATATATAACTGTATACGGGTATATAGATGTGACATCGTGGTGATAGCAGTACCACCCCCAGAAATCTCTCACATTTGTATCGAACCATCCTTACCTGAACACATATCTCGATCCCAAATGTTATTTCTACATAGTGACAATATATTTTTCAACGCATTTTATAAATATCCTTTTTGGAAAGATGAATATAGCGGTGATGTTTTAGCAACGTTAGATTCAAATACTATTTTAAATATTGCTTATGATGCAACATGCAATAACTCAAAAGGAGGAATTATAGCTGGATTTCTCAATAATACCAATATTATGCCAACTACATCGAAATTGCTTTTATTCGAAACACTAAGTAGAAGTTTCAAAAATAACGAAGCGAGATGTTGCATCAATTATAAAGAACATGAACGATCTACAGATGAAAATATTGAAATTAAATTGAAAAGTAGTTGGCTTATGAGCGTTATGCAACCATGTGACATATTTTATCATGTTGATCATGTAAATGCATCCATTGATAGGTAAAAGTATATTATTGATTCGTTGAATGTATATTTTTCAAGTAGTTTATTAAAAGTAGTTTTTATCTTTCTACTAGAGTCTTTTTCGCTGCGAGTGAATATGCTACACAATGGCCTGGAACGATAGATGGTGCGATCGAGACAGGCGAATTAACAGCAAGTTTGATACTTTTAAGAATTAGGCCGCAAACTTTAGAGTTTGCTGACATGATAACTATGTAAGTTTGAAATTAATCAATTTTTTCTACAATCACTACATAATATTTGTAAATAAATACTTAATTTCCAAGAATATTAAATCAAATCTTAATACTTTACTCTTGGTACAGACAAAATGAAATTAACGTGCAAAAATCGCTCCCAATTGAAGTAGCTATAATGCAATATTTTTGCTTAGCAATGAATATGGTCATATTGACTTCATTTTTACATATGGCATATAATAAATAAAATTATAAATGACCGAAACACGTTGAAATGTTAGTTCCTACCAGATCACTAAATTCAAGTAACGTGAATACAGTTAGTTAAATGAATAGATGATTCATTCGAAAAAAAAAAACAAAAAACGGATCGTGTGCCGTTGACTACAAAAAGACGAACTTTGGAAATGTGGGATAATTATGTGGAGGTGATCATAAACGGTGAAGTAATATAAAAATATAATAGATAAAATTATCTATTTAAAATTGATATCAAATAACTAAGTTGGAATTATTTTAAGAGTATTTATTTTTTATGAAATCATGCATATGATTCAGGAAATTCAAATGTTACATCACGACCCGTCAGTTTCTTATAAACAGAGGCGAAAGTGTCGACCTGAAAAATATAAAAAAAAAATTAGTGAAATTATAAATGGTGGTAATTGTATACGGAAGATACAGCATACATTTCATATGCTATCTTTTTTTTTATTTATACGATATACCTTATGTTCGATGTTAGTCTGCTCATTTTTATCCAAATGAACTTTAATAAGTTGTTTTCCCTCTGCTTTAACGCGAATGCGTTTACCAACAATTTCAACTGGATAGACCAAATCTTCTAGAAGTGCATCGTAGACAGCAGTCAATGTGCGGCTACAAAATTTAAAAAAATATTACATACAATTACGCTACATTACAGAAAATTTCAAAGTAATGCATTTCACTAAGCATTGATAGAAATGATTCCAAATAATTGTAATAATAATAATAGTTTAAATACCTTCTTGGTCTCTTTTGCTTATTCTTTGTACGCGTTTTCCTGGTTGGTTTAGGTAAAATTTTTCGTTCTCCTACAAACATAACATGTTTACCAGAGAACTTCTTTTCCAACTCGCGTACCAATCTCGTATGAATCTTTTGAAATGCCTTTAATTTTGGCATTGGTACATAAATAATTATTGACTGAAATAAAAATACTAAATTAATCGAAACGTTTTCTAAAGGTAACACATATGAATACGTATATAAAAGATATTTATAAATGCACTAGTATACATTAAAAATATTTTACCTTTTTATTGTTGGTTTCAATTTCTCTTGCCTTGGTAATATAAAGCTCTCTCAGTTGTGATTTAAGATCACTATTCATTTCTAGCTCTAAAAGAGCTTGTGAGATACTAGCTTCAAACTGGTCGGCTTCGGCGCCGCCACTCTTTATGATTTTTGCATTTGCAGTAAACATCTGAAAATAGTTAGGTTATGTTACTATTGATAAAAATTATTAACCACAAAATTAATATTAATTTTTTTGCTGTGGTTAAATGTTTAAAATACTGATAATATTATATTACTAAATAACACTTTCAAACATGAATATATAAAAATAAAAGATTTTATGCGTCACACGGTTAGTAATATCCATTAGTATCAACTTGTTTAATATGCAATCTGCATAAAATATTTTTTTCTATATCAATTTAAAGAATTTTTAATCACATTAGTAAAATAATTTACCGTTCTTTCTTCAATTTTTCTGTATAATCAAAAAAATCCTTTAAAAGAAGCAGCTTCCTACACTCAAGACCATACTAAAAGAGAGTCTAAGACTTAAAAGAACATAGAGAGTAACTACTATTACTTACGTTTCACTCAGCTTTGTCCACAGGTTTAGTAGAATGCTCAGGATTGGTGGATTTATCGTCCATTAAACATCAGCCAATAGTGTATGAATATTTTTTCAAAAAAGAAGAAACAATTTTTATGAAATTATTTATTCCTTTTTCCATCTATTAAGATAAATTTGTATGAAAAATATTATAAAAGTATTATTCTATAATATTCTTTTAAATATATATATATATATTATATACAAACCGAAATCAGTATGGTACAGTAATCATATTGGTTACTAGGTGGCGGTACAAGCATATTTGAAATATAGTTTCTATTATTTCAGAAACTAATCTTAAAATAATACACTTATATATATATATATATATACCCTATTCTCTGTATTACATTGAATAGTGCTTACTAACACTACTGATAGAGATAAAGCAAGTTACAAAGTATTATAAAATATTAAGAAATGTGTATGATGTAAAGTTTCTTTCCAAATAATAAATTGTACATTAATATTTTAAATGATTATTTTTGATAAATAATTAATATATAATTACGCTTATTAAAAATTTACAAATAAAGAAATTTTATACGGTCGGCTTATTATGGTTGATGTTTATACGCTGAGAGCCGAATGTAATTTAAAAATTCTACGTTATATAAATATATATGTTTATCGTTGTTTCATTAAAACTGTGAAAAATGAGTTCTGGGTTCATATCGGAAGCTGAAATAGCAGAGCAAAGAAGAATAAGGCAAGAAGAATGGGACCGTGTACGAACAGCTGACCAACCTCTAGGTTATTATCGCATAAGTTATTCGATTGTTCATTATTTGTTAAATGTCATGTATTCTAAATTTAAGTAAAACCTATTAACATTATATGTGATGAAATTAAACTGTAAGAGAAAATTAAATGATCACTTTTAACGTCTAAGTAAAAACATATATTTGAATTATTAGTGATGATATCTAGAAAATATTAATAATATATAAATTACTTACAACAGTAAAAGTGATTAATATTTTAATCACATTTTGACAAATAAAAGAATATATACTAAACATCCGATCATAAAAGTTTGACAAATATGATAATTAAAAAATTATATATTTTTGACTATTTTTAGAACCTCCTGATGAACCATATGATCCTAGATCTTTGTACGAACGTTTACAAGAACAAAAAAGCAAACGAGATGCAGAATATGAAGAAGCTCATAAACTTAGTAAGAAAAAAAAGTTTACTTGTATTTATTTGAATGAATATTGTCATTATTTTGATTTCCAGAAAATATGATTAAAGGATTAGATGACGATGAAGTAGACTTTTTAGATTTGGTTGATAGAACTAAGTTAGAGGAAGAACGTAAGAAAATTCTCGAAGAAGAAAAAGAAATGCGTGACTTCAAAGCTGCTGTTGCTTCTTTGCAAGAGAAGTCGTTAGATGAAAGATTAAAACAAGAATTAAAAAAACCACAAATCCCTAACAAGAATGTTTGTAGTAGCAGGTAAGATATTAAATAAAAATATATTTAAACTATATTTCGATTGATCATTATATTTGTGTTAATTATTATTAATTTTATTGAAACACTTTTACTTTATCTTTTAGTGGTCGTAATTCCCAATTAAAATTACTGGCAGGTGTGGTTGTGAAAAAGTCAGAAAAACCAAAGTTAAGTAAGTTGAAATTATAAGCTATAAAATAAAATGATAAATATATAGTTTAAAAATTTAACTCATTAATTAATTTAGGTGAAGGCAAAGGTGTCAAAAGAAAATTGTCTTCTCCAGAATTAGATAAACATTTAGCAAAGGAAGATGATACTCATTTACAATATACGGAATCAAATGTGCTCGTGGAAAACAAAAAGTCATATTTATCTGATGCAATGATTAATCATACTGGGGGAATGAAATGTATTGGTATATTACCAGGACTTGGTTCTTATGACGACTCGAGCGATAGTGAATGTAGCTCAGATACTGATCAAGATCCAGAATTAACTCAATCTAAATATGATCTTTTAGGACGTAAAATAGTAGCTGCAAAAGATAAGGAGAAAAGCTGAATGAGAAGTATAAGTAAGCATTTTTTTCCAACAAGATAAAATGAGTGGCATTTTATTTAACTAGTTGTCAAATAAAAAAATATAATCATAACTTAAATTTCTAATTTTGGAATCATTAAAGTTCCAATTTATAATGCGTGAATATATAAAAGTTGAATTATTCTCTTAAAAAAATCGTATTATTTTTCTTCCTATGTTAGCTATGTATTATATACTATTAAAATTACAATTATTCAAGAATTTGTGTAATTATGTGGGGGTATAAATTTATTGAACAAAGACGACGAAACAAATACATTTCTATACAATCGATAAATCTAAATTTCTTCTAATTAGTATTTTAAAATTATTTTACATTTAATTGTTATCGAAATATTATCAATGAATAAGATTCATACATACAGAGTGAGTCTCCTAATATGATGACTTCAAATGACGTAAATTATTCATTGTACGAAAAAATGTTTCAAACACAAGTTGTATGGTAACAAGAAAGACATACAGTGCTTTAATATGGTTTTTATTATCTTACATTTTTATTGAGATGCTTAACACGACAGAAATGTAAACATGTTCCTTGCTAAATGTTAGAAATTATCAACATGAAATACTGAAAAATTCAAATGATCATTCATAAAATTGACCACAAACACTGGAGGAGTTTGAACATTTGGTACGACATAATTGGTAACCATATTGTTGGATCGTACTTCTTTGAAAGATCTCTAATAGATCAAATATACTTCACATTCTTGTCTGAAACACTGCCTATGAAAAAATGTACCATGTTTAACACTTTAATGTTTAATTAACACGAGTCACGTTGATCATATATGATCGGCCATGGTTTCTTCTGTGACGCTGCATTGGTCATTGGTATCTGAAATATTTGAACTATTTACAATTGTGAAAGATGAATGAAAATTTACAGTTAAGACATTCAAAAAATGTGGTATCAAAACATGACAGCTATTAGATTAGCTTTGTGTTATGCTTTAAGTTTGTAATATGAATCGGCATCTTGCATTTCTTAAGTCTCTCCTCTATAGGTCGGAAGATCAAAATTCACATCTTATACGCATTAAACCATTATTATGTGAATAATAATTATTAAATTTACATAATTTCGTGTTTACTTTATAAACCCTCATTTCATTTTCAAACAATTAAATGTTCATAGTGATAATAAAAGATTTTGTTTAATTAAACATTTTCATTGCATTAAATAGGTAAATTCATATTTTACATATTTTTTTCATAAATGTACAATAATTGAGTTAAAATTCAATTTACAATAAACAAAGTGTTAAGTATATATTGTACATGATCTTAATACTATAATTAAATATTTTTTTTGACATTTTCTTTAAATATTTTTATTATGTTGTTTAATTAGTTTTTCATTTATAATAGTTAATTCATTATAATAATTTCTATATAATATTCTAATAATTATACTACTCCATTTTCTAAAGCAGTCAAACTCAACTTTGGCTCATAAAATCGATTACGTTTATAAACACAATGTTTAAATACGATTAAGGTCAGCATGAAAAAGTGTTATAAAAGAAAAAAAGAAAGAAAAAAAGTTATTTATCCCTATCCTAAGGGTACATTTATAAATAAAAACAAATAATCTCGTTTGAAATTCGAACTTACAAATTAATTTAATGGCAACCAGTCAATAAATTATAATCCTGTACAAATGAAGGCATTCTGTAATAAGCTCCATTTTAACATTTTCTATTTAAATAAAAAATTATATTGAACAAAAGTGTTATAAAGTATGTATAGATTGTTACGTATTTATATAATTACGCGTTATTTATTAAGCGTTAAATTGTATAATTCAATTAAATCATAGAAATTCTTGGTTTTATCCAAACTAACAAAGCGTTTTAAGGAAAGCATATAAAAGTTTATCATACACTAAACTAATAGTTCATGGAATACATAAGTAAAATATAAATTTACGAGAGACAACTGATAAAATCTGGAGTTTACACGATTTAACTGAAGCATACAACATAACGTTCGCTAACATATATATTTACAAGTAATTTCTGTGTAAAATAATCGTTAAGTTCCTGGAAATTTTGTGAGTTAGACTATTATTACAAAATAAATAATTAGTATAGAAAATAGAATTAGGCTTAAAAAATTTAAGAAATTATACTATTTATTTTCATAAAATTATCCGAAACGATACTATGTGTTTCTATGTTTCTTTTTGCAATACTTACAATTAGATAAAAAATATTTTCCCATTTAAATTTTATTGATTTAATACTATAGAAACTATCCTAAACACAACTTTTAATGAAACAATAATACTCTTAAGACACTATAACCACAGAATGAGATCATATTATAGAATTTCATATAATCTATTAACAGACAAAAGCTAGTATCTTTACTTTGAGAACTTTCAAAATTTTATTATTAAAGCACTTAGTAATAACTTAATCTTTTACATTGAAAACAAATATCTTTAATAATTTATGACCGTTTAATAATAAACAATATAACAATGTTGATTATTAAATTTTCTTTCATTTTTTTTTTTTTTTTAGACTACTCAATTTGGAATAATAGTGGTTTATATTATAAAAAGGATTGCTTGTAAAAATATATTTTATATAGGACGTACTAATTTTATTATTTCTTTTTTTTTTTTAATATAATATATGTTTCAGGTCTATTTAATCAACAAATTATCTTATTATATTAATATATTGATTAATAATTAAAATGTACGAAACTAATCACTATATAAAGACTACATTTAAGAAAACTAAAGCTGAAGAATTTGTGTTATTTCTTCGCTGTATCAAAGGTATAAAAATTCTAGAAACACCTCTATTTATATTACCAACTTGTGAATACAAAAGTATGATAAAGTATACTCGTCATAATATGCGTATAGAATTTGATTTTGATACGAGTCAACATACTGGATTTTTAGAAGTTTTATATACTATGCCTTTTCGTACTAGTCGGAAGACAATTATAAATGAAGGAAATTCAATTATCGGATATGATACTAACTGTGGCTTTAGAAAAACATTTAAACTAATACTTGATGTTACTCATATAATTCCTGAAACTGAATCAATTCGTAGTTTCAAGAGTAAACATATAGGAAATACATTAAAACATATAACTACATTATACTTGAATTCAGAATTTAGTGATCAAGCATTTCTTTTCAATGATTCTGTCTTTCTTGTGCACAAAATTATATTAGCAGCACAAAGTTCTGTTTTTGAAAAAATGTTTAACTATGATGAAACTAACCAACAAGAAAGTACAATTATTCCTCTAAGGAACGATAACTTACCATATTATACATTTAAAACATTTACTCAAATGTTGTACTACTTATACACTAATGAAATAAAAGATTTAAATAAGGCAAGCGAACTGATTTTCTTAGCTGACATGTTTCAAGTAATGAGTTTGGTAGAAATGTGTAAAAATATTTTTATAGAAAACATTAGTAAGGAAAACGTAGCAGGAATTATTGATATTGCAACAAAATTACATTTGAAAGATCTATTAACTTATTGTCAAGATTACAATGCAAGTAATATAAGTCGTACAAGTAGTACTAGTTCAGATACAAATATTGAATAAAAAAATTCAAATTAATGTATTATAAAAAATGGCGAATCATTCGATGGATTATGATATTTCAATGTTTTATTAAAAATTGAGTGTATTAAATTGATATGAAAATAGTTAAATAAATACTTTTTTCTATTTTTATATGAGTTTTAATTTTGTTATAAATCTATCTAAAGCAAATATTTTATGTTGATTTAGAATAAGTAATTACATACATCTACTTTCATTAGATGTACTGTAATGGTCAATTTCCATTGTTTAGATGAGTAAATTAAATAATTTGAAAAATATCAATTATGTAGGAAACAAAAATAAAATAGCGAGTTTTCTGGCGGACCTCTTCTATCTCCCAAACAGAACGTCTTGTTAGTAAACTCTGATTGGTTACCTTATCGCTATGTGATTGGTCAGTTTTTTTTCTACTGATGGCGCCCTTATTAATAGTGACTTAGGGAGTCCCTAATAGTAACTAAATGTTCTTTCACATGTATAATCTGAATTGAATATAATGATCATGCCTAAAATTATTTGAATAAAAACCGTTAATTATAATAATCTATTTCTAATGACATTATATATATATATTTCATTTTATTGTTCTTTTCGTTTAGGAAAGCTGATCGAAAATATTACCCAGTATGTATAAATGTTACGTTTATTTATAAACCGATTAATACAAAAAGTAGAGAAAATTAATTAAGTTGTATAAATTATAATGTAATTTATTATTTATTAGTTATATAACATTTTGTTATTTAGTGGTGTTAAGTTCATTATTAACATGTTTATTGTGAATATTAAAAGTTAAGCACTAATTTAATATTTTGGCATTAAAATTTTTATAAATTCTAAAATTGGAGCTGTTGTATATAAACTGTTATATATGTATATGTCCAAATCAAAGAACTTTAAAATTTTATTCTTAAACAAGTTTTTTCATATTTCCAGATTTTATTGAATTAACGCAGGAAAAATATTTATAAAACGTCTATTAACGGAACAGTCACATATACAAAAGATTTTACAAATGTGTAATACAATCGTGCTGTAGGAATATCATAATGCAAATGGATAGCTTTTAATTACATACTGCCTATAGACATTTTGATAGTATTGTTTTTTTTAATAATATTCTTAGTTTGTGGCTATTTAATCAATATACTATTTTATTTGAACTAAGAAAAACAATGGAAAAAGGATATACTCAATATTTTCGGACTGAATTTCAGCAACAATTTCAAAACAGAGAATATCACTGGCGTATTATAGATTTTAATCAAGGTTCAATAAAAAAGTCACCTATATTTGTTTTACCAACTGTAACATTTTCAGTTGCTCTGATGTACAGAGGAAATGATGTAGTTATACTATTTTTATTTAGAAGAAATCCTTATGGAGGTTATTTATCTGTTAGTATGAAACTATTATCTTTCGATGAAAAATATATTATAGATAAGTTTAATAGGGAAATAGTATATCCAAATATGAATCAAATAGAAGAAGATCAATTTGTAGTGAAATTTCAAGTAACTCATATATATCCTGTAACATACAATCTATTTAATACTGTCGGATCAAAACGACAAGAAATAATAAAATATATAAATTCATTATATTGTAATATAGAATTTCATGATGCAGTAATTTTTTTTAAAGATACAGTATACCCTGTACATAAAGTTATACTTGCGTCACAAAGTATTGTATTTGAAGAATATTTTATTTCTAAAGAAAGATTAGGTGAAGTACCATTACCTATTCAGATATTTGATGATGAGACAGAAAATGAAATTCTTGTTATTATGTTGCAGTATATATATACCAACAAAATTGAATTTAAAGATTATAAAGATACAATGAATAAAATTATTACTATAGCTGCTACCTATAAGGTAAACAGTTTGTTAAAATTATGTAAAGATATTTTAATCGAAAATGTGAATATAGAAACTGTTTTTAATTCTATTTTAATTGGTGATAAATTTAATTTTCCTGATTTAGAGAATTACTGTTTTCAATTTATATTAACAAATAGGACAATTGTTACCCAGAGTAAAGAATTTGCACAAATAAAACAGAATCCAAGAGTATTAATGAAACTCCAAAATTTCATAACATTTTGAAAAAATCTTATTATTTTATAGAAAATGTTAATTTGTTAAACTGATATAGGCGCAGTTAAATAAATACTTCTTTTTTTTTTTATATATTCTCGAATTTAAATTTTGCGCATTTATTTTTTTTATTTTGATTATGTGCGTTTATTTTTTTTTATTTTCATTCTGTGCGTTTATTTATTCATTTTAGTTATGTACATTTTTAAAATATATTTGTTAATAATAGATATTGATAAATTAAATTAAGATTATTGCATTTTGTGTTATAAATATTAATTTTTTCAAGAGTAAGATAAAATTAAAAAAAACAGAATTGTATAAGATTGTTAATAATAAAATGAAATATATCACAAACAAATAGAAATAAATTAATAAATACTCTTGTATATGGACAAAAATTGGACTGTTTAAATTAGACAATGTTTATGCAAGTCACCCCTATCTATGTGTATTTATTTTTGGAGCGTTTGTTTTAAGAAAGGAAGATATTTATTAGTAAATCCTTTCTCTTATTCATTATTATAAATATTTTAACAATAAAAGTTTTCTAAATCTCTAATACAGTTTTAAATAATATGAATTTATTTTATTTTATATATTTTAATTGATAAAAATTAATTTTAATTGATAAACATTGTATAATAGTTTATAAATAATGAATTATTAAAATTTCTTTATACAAAGAACTAAACTACTTTTTATTTCCTAAAGATGGCGCAAAACGCTTCTGCACTTGGAAATGCAACGCAATCTGTATCTTGTATGAGTCGAGTAGTCATTGGTATAAGTATATAGCCTAGAAAAAATCTTTATATATAACGGCTGGACTGTAAATTTATTTACTCAATGTATTAACAACTTTAAACGGACGTATTTCACACGGAATTTGATACAGGTATATAATTAAATTTATAATATATAAATATATATTTATATAATATAAGATAATATATGTATATATGTATTATATATATTGTATATAAAAAATATATCCCTAAATTATATGTAATTAATTTATTATTTCTCATAATATTTTTGTATTTATTATATTTTATATTTTATATTGGAAGATGTTAACAAATTACTGAGCGATTTTTCGTGTTAAAATTAGTTATATCTGCAGATCTGTTTTCTTGTAACCTTTTCAAAAATTATATTGTAATTAATTGCATATAATTGATAAACTGTATACAAATTAGTCATGCTAATAGTATCTTGTATAATAATCATTAAAAAAATTATATTTATTAATATATATGCATATATGTTTTAACTGATTTTGTTTACTACGTCAAAGCATTGTACTTCAATTAAATATAGACAGGATATATTGAGAATGAATTAAATTTTCAATACATTATTCAATATATTTTCTTTTGTAATGAATCAGTAATATTTATTTTAAATAATGCATACAATAATATTTGTGAAACGCTGATGGATATTAGATTATATTTAGTATAAAATATATACAACTATATTTTTTATCTTATCTATGTGTAAACTTTTTAACTTTGAAATAAGAATTGAGATCTCATAGATATATTTGTAGCCACCTTCATCTGGTATCATTAAAATGGCCGATTCCAGTGATTTGGATCGGCAAATTGAACAATTGAAGAAATGTGAAATTATAAAAGAAGCAGAAGTAAAAGCTTTATGTGCAAAGGCTCGTGAAATTCTCATAGAAGAAAGCAATGTACAACGAGTTGATTCTCCGGTGACAGTAAGTTTGAATTCATTAGAAGTTGTTGAATATTTTAAAATATTTAATAATTCGTTATAAATAATTACATTTTAAATATTTCATTATATGTGAATATTATTAATTTTAATTTATATTTACAGGTATGTGGAGATATTCATGGTCAATTTTATGATTTGAAAGAATTATTTAAAGTAGGTGGTGATGTTCCAGAAACGAACTATCTTTTTATGGGAGATTTTGTTGACAGAGGATTCTACAGTGTCGAAACATTCCTTCTTCTCCTTGCATTAAAAGTAATATGCTTATAAATTCAAGAATTATGTATTGTTTATTCTCACATTTTTAATGCATTAGTAAGATTATTTTGTGAATTTTTGTTGATTTTTTAGGTACGTTATCCTGATAGGATTACATTAATTAGAGGGAACCACGAATCAAGACAAATTACTCAAGTATATGGATTTTATGACGAATGTTTACGTAAATATGGTAGTATTACGGTATGGCGGTACTGTACTGAAATTTTTGATTATTTATCATTGTCAGCTATTATAGATGGGAAAATTTTTTGTGTTCATGGTGGTTTGTCTCCTAGTATTCAAACTCTTGATCAGATTCGCACTATAGATAGAAAACAAGAAGTGAGTAATAATGATTACATATTTTATTATTTTTTAACAATAAGATTAATTTTTTTTTTATTTAGTTTTTTTATGTAAGTGGGTGGGTTGAAAAGTTATAAATCTGACATAGAAATATTTTTTGATCAAACTTAATTCTATGATAGTTTTAAAATTTGTAGAAAAAAATAGGCTCAAAACTTTTCTACCTATCCTTGCAGATATTAACATTTAATATGTCTTTTCATTAAAATATACGTATACATATGTTTCAACAAACATTAATATATAATTTTTATTTATTAATATTGTTAAAATTATATTTATTAAGAGAATAATACAAATTCTTTTGTAAAGGTACCTCACGATGGTCCTATGTGCGATCTATTATGGTCTGATCCAGAAGATACTCAAGGTTGGGGAGTTTCACCACGTGGAGCAGGATATTTATTTGGTAGTGATGTTGTAGCTCAGTTTAATTCAGCTAATGATATTGATATGATATGTAGAGCACATCAGTTGGTAATGGAAGGATATAAATGGCATTTCAATGAAACTGTTCTCACAGTATGGTCTGCACCAAATTATTGTTATCGGTATGCATTTAAGTCAGCAACTTTTTACATCTTATAGAATTTTAAATTACATTTTTAAATATTTCATATAAATTATTTTACTATTGAAATATTTATTTGTTGTGATATTTTTTAGAAAATCTGAATATATTTATGAGTGTGCACGTGGATGTACGCGTGTCTGTGTTTATATATATATATATACTATATATTTTTTATTTATTTTTAGATGTGGTAATGTGGCGGCTATATTGGAATTAAACGAGCACTTACAAAGGGATTTTACGATTTTTGAAGCAGCGCCACAAGAAAGTCGAGGAATACCTAGCAAGAAACCACAAGCAGATTACTTCTTGTGATCGTATATTATGAAATCGCAATTTGCATGTTATCATTCTGAAGTCAATGACATAGAATCTTTAAGATTTTCATGGATAGTTTTTGTGTGTGTTCAAGTTATAACACCACAGATATTTTCAATTTATACGAAATTTTTTGATTTATTTTTAGTACATTTTTATGGCTATATAAAAATGAACAATTATATTTATTATTGAATATTGGAAAAAATTATATGCCAGTAAGATTACTTAAAAATGACAGCATATGTTTAATATGAAAGAATATTAATCATCACAATCAAATAATTGTGCTTTACTTTGTTAAGATTGTATTCAAAAAGTATTTAATAACTTTTGTTTGAATATTGGAGGAAAAATACGTTGAAGTAATTTCATTTTTTTCCAGAAAAAAGAGGAGATATTAAAAATATTACAAAAAAAATTATTTCTGTATTGATATAAAGATTGTATTTCTTTTAATAAGTTTTTTTATATCTTTCCAATGAATATACAAATACACTCTTTTATGTATATTATTTGTTGATACGTAATTATTTTTGAATGTAAATGAAAAGAAAGTAAAATACAAGTTACACGCTTAAATTTATTAAATACTCTTATTGAAACAAAGCGTAATCTTTAATTTTAGTAAAATTGATCATGTATCTAGCAAAACAACAATTTTATGCATATAACAATTAAATGATGCATTTTATACTAATGTTACTTGTGTAAATTGTAAATCTTTAATCAGTTTTTAAATAACAGAAATCAAATGCTATTTGTTATACGTGTTTTTATAATAAATACACATAAATATCAAATTCCTTATAATCACGAGTTGTATGGATGATTAATTTTGTTCTTGACCAAGATTTAATATGAATAATATGAATCGATATAATAAGAAATAAATTGAAAATTGTTAACAATGTATAAAACTAACGTAAACAGGATTACATTATTTACTTAATAAAGCCGTTTATACACGGTTACATTAAGTTTGTTTAATTCTATGCATCTACTTAAAAATTAGAAACTTATGTGTATTGTCTTATGTATAATTTTTTATTTGAACATGCAAGTTTTAATTTTTATTTCTTTTTAATACTGATATATCGTAGGTTTTTATTTCCAATATTTATTAAAATATTTCCTACTTGTTAATGAACTTAATAAAAGCTAATAATTACATATTTATATTATTTTACGTAGTTAGAAAATAATTATCATATATAGTTGGAGAACATTATTTGAAAAAAAAAATTAAACTATTATGTACATTTATATATACTTGTAAAGCACTCATAAAGGATAACAATTGATTTGAACGTAATCACGTATGATCGGAATTCACTTGTCCAACAATTTTCAACGACTTCCGTTTATTTAAGATTTTTATTATTTTAATCGAAATATATTAGATAAATACTACATATATAAAGTTTCGTTCTTTATTATTTATTCATACAAAAATTCATTAAAAGGATTCTGGGAATGAAGAAAATAAATTCACGTACGTAATTTTAATACATAAAGTTCAATTTCTGAGCGGAATAAAATGGCATACCACGATTACGTAGTGTAAATTATATGTATGTTAAATCCTTTTTGTTAATTTGAGTCACAGTCGCAAAGTTAGCTATTAGCTGAAAACTATCAAGTTGCAATAGAAGTATCGTTGTACAAATAACTAATATGTAATTTCTAATTAACAATTTTAACTAATATAAAAGAGTCGTAGTAAAAAGTCATATGTTTTAAATATTTATGAAAATGGAACAAACATTCGTATAAATTTTGTATTGATCTTTCTTGTTTTCCTGAATTTTATTTTTATATTGCATTTTAATTATTTATTTCAATAAGTCAGATTAATAGATTCTTTGCTTCAAATGTTGTTTATGCCAATATCATATTTAAACACACACATAAAATTTTCATATTTTTAAAAAATACATAAAAATATTGTAAATTTAATAATAGCCGTATACACGCATAGCGGCGTTCTACGCTTGCGTGGCGGGAACTGTTCATTTGTTTATCTGCTTGCTAAACTTCAGATTGCATATACTAACGTTTCGACGCAGAATCGATGTTGTCTTCACATTTATAAATAATAAGTAGATTTTTATTAACGTATGTAAATTTCCTTACAAAATATCAAATAATTATCGAAAGTTTGATTTTTATGGTGTATTATGAAAAAAAGCTCCATTATCACGGTAATGGATGATAATTTCAGTACATTTCAGCTTTTTTCAGTGATATTTATAAATGGCTAATGTTATATGTTATAATTCTCTTTATATTCTTATTATAATCTTTAAATGTACCGAACATTTTTTTAAAACATGAACTAATAAATAACTTTATAAGAACATTTTTGTAACAATAATATTGAATATATATTTTTTTTTAACAGTTACTTTATAACAAGAATAAGAACATATTTTGTTACAAATTAAAAATACTATTTCCAAAAAACGTTATTAGAAGGTGATAGAGAGATGAGGAAGAGAGAGACCGATAGAAAATCATTTTACGGATATATTCAAATTAAATTTTAATAATTTGTAGAGCGAGAAAAGTTTCTTGCGAAAAAAATGTAATTCTCGGCTTGTTCAAAAACAGGTAATATGGATCGTTACGTGGGTTGCGCCTTCATCGGTTTGCTACTCCGATAAATCTACTTGTCTTCCTTCGTTGGTATACATATAATACTACTACTGCATAGGTATACCAACCTATCTTGTTCGTTCTTTCGTTCATATATACCAGAAATGCTTCCCTGTCGCTGGATAAACTAATTTATGAGATACGCACTCGACAGAGAGAAACGAACACCATGACGCTTATAAGAATAGCCATGACATTCATATATTTCTTTCTTTGTAATATCGCAATGTGCATTTATTATATGCACCTTTGTACATTGAAACAACGTTAAGGATTTTGTTGGTTTTCTTTAAATCTCGATGTTTTAATTTTGTCTATATATTTTTATTTTCCTGAGAAATGATAAATTTATCTCTTTAAGTGAAGATTGAAAAATAAGAAAAATTCACGATGTGAATAATATTGCATCACAGATAAGAATATTATGTTTATTTTTTCTCATTATTTTCGTTGCAATATTTTTATTAAGGGTCACTCCCCTGAAATTGGTAGATATGAAATTTTATTGATTTTGTTGTTATTTCTTATTGTTAGTTTTTGTTTAAGATTAGGATAGGATGGATAATTGTACAATTAGAATAAGAATTAGGGTAAACGGTGTTTTTTACAGTATATTTTTATTTAGATCGTATTGCATAGAAGGTACAATTTCTTGTTAAAAACAATGATCAAGATATTTCGTACTTTGGATTCTGAATTTCTCATTTTGTAGAATGACGTTCCTGATATGCTTTTTTCCATATGATTCCACGAGATATGAAGTTGAGCCCTCGTCAGAGATATAAATTAAATTCCCTATTTTTCATATTTTACCTTTGCTTATGTATTTTTTTTTATTCTTGTCTTTGTCTTTTTGTCATTTTTTTCTTTTTATTTTATTTTTATTATAATAAATAAATGTTTAATGATTTTACAAAATTGTAATGATTTTGTAAATTTGATATAATTTGTATGTTTTTTAGATTCAAATAGATAGATAATTGCCATGTTTTTGTTTTAAGTTTTTATTATTTTATTCGTTTTTTTAGTTCTCATGATATTTTTTTTTCTTCAAGAACTCGTTAAATTAGGAATCTAGAATTCATGATCTTATTCGAAGATGATAAAACTCTAGGAGATTATGCGATGTATCTCGGAAGGAGATAAGTGGTAATATAACTTTAAAGTTCAATTATATAAGAAATCTTGTCGATTACGGTTTGAATAATTACGATTAATTAATTAGGTCTTAAGTTATGTAAAGTATTAACAGTAAAATACTTAAGACAGAAACAATTAAAGTTTCGGACGTTAGTTTTATAAAATAAGAATTAATATTGAACGAAATATACTTAAAATGTTTATAGTAATAATAATGTATTTATTTAGTTTTGCAGTTACAAACAGGATTTGGTTTCCTAATAATAATTTTAAGCTTTCTTATTTATTTATTTTTCCATTCATCCACTCCCTAATAATAACATTTATTAATGTTTCTTATGCAATTAAATATTCTCAACTTTATTCTAATTTTTGCAGTATTCTTGATCTCAAATTTTTTATTGCATATTTACGATCTCCTTTTTTTCTTTTTTCTTTTACTGTGAAATTTTTTTAACCAATTTTTTAGGTCGTTGAATAATTTCTTCGTATTTTTTTCTGAACCATGTCTTTTCGCGTCACACGAATAGAGGATAGTTTTCTTTTTTGGAAATTGACAAACTGCTTACTTTCAAATGGAGGTAAATTGTTGACAATAAGGGTTAATATATAATTAATTAAATAAATGTCTATTCAAAGTTTCGATGGTTTAAATTAATTTCAAATATGACAATGTTATGTTACGACCAAATATAATTTTCTTGGCGTTACTTTTACTTATATTATTTCCATTAAAATAATTTCGTTTTCAATTTCTTTAAGGATCCTTGTATTTAATATCAATAAATAATTTAGTTACTATTTTAAGGTGTAGTACATTCGCATACTAGTTGTATATTAAATAGATATCTAATACGTCTTAATAATCCCTATAATATTACAATTGAATGATAAAAAATAATTTGGAAAATGAAAAATAATATATCATATGTGCTCAACGAATGATAATCTTAAACATTAAGTCTATCCGAAATTAAACTATAACGAATCTTGACAGCTGGTGCAAGTGGCGAAAAGCTGAAATTTCTGATTTTTGAAATATAAAACAAACAAAAATTTGGTGTAATATTTAGAGATATCAATAAACTATATGCCAAATTTCGAAAATGTAGAATAAATTGTTTTTTAAAAAAACAAACAAAATTCATCAAAAGAGTCTAAAATTCGCGGGTTTATTCGTATCTCTCACCCTTATAGTAAGAAGAAGAAGAAAGAAGGAATTAGTTAAGGGTGTGCGCGCATGCGTTTGACACATACATACATGCGTTCATGATTGCGAGAGTTCGGCGTCGTCGCGTTACCGTCGCGACGCTCTCCGACGCTTTGCTCACGACGATGTGAGATCCCACAAGGGCAGTGCGCGTTTATACATCGCGACGATCGTTTCAACGATTCTTTGTTTTTATCTGTCTTATACTTGTAACCATCTTTATTTGTTCTTTGTCTATTTTGCATATCGTTCAACTTACTCTCACGGAGTTAGTTGTCTCCTCGTCAACGTGACTTCTTTAAATCTGGACTTGTTTATTAAAAAAAACATTTTAATTATTAGAGTGAAAACATAGGGAAAAATCATCATAGCGACAAGTGGTCCACGTGGAGGTAGCAGCATCTTTGAGAAAAAGATTTTAAGTTATCTCGGACAATATCAAGATACTTCTTTGATTTTTCGGGGATTCCTTTGTTCCAGTTTATCACAATTTTTATATCATGCAGTTCTTTGACTTGGATTGGATAATAAGGTAAACACGAATTTAAATATATTAGATATATTAGAATAAGGTATTAATTTTATTTCTTATTTATAAATATATGAGACTTTAATGTATGCTTAATGAGAAATACTCTTTTTTATTTAATCAAAATTTTTCATTCGAGTTATTTTCTTTTGATTGTATTATAAATAATAACACGTGATTCTTTCAACGTTCAGCTGCAATAAGTTATAATGAAAAGGAAAAGAGAGTAATTTAATAGACATGAAAAATTACTACTATAAAGGCAGATGTTTATTTCATTTCTACCGTAACGTTGATAGGTGTTTGAAAAAAAAAAAACGTGTTAGAGAAAGGCCATTCATCTTTAGGTAAATTATATTATTTTTAAATAAATTTACCATGGACTAAAAATAGTACTAAGTGACGTCTTATCTATATTTTTTCTTACTCGTAAAAATATTATTGCTTTTTATTTTACATTTTTTTTAAATAAATGTATTCATTTAAAATTAAATGATATTACAAGTAGTTTATTTAAACAAATATATCGATACACAAAGAGAAATAGAAATTTTTATTGTTAGATAATAATAGCACCTTATCGATTAGATTGATTCGTTGATTTCTAAGGATACCATTTGTTAAAATTCTTATGCTTACAAGTTTTTATATGTTTTATACATACATGTATATGCACACACAAGTAGATAGTGTGTACGTGGCACGTTGACTTTCCTTCTTCTATCCTTCTTATCCCTTCTTGGTGATTCCACAGTGATATCGACTCTAAGGCTCCACATGCACTTCTACCAAAGATATTCTACTTTTAGTTTTCTTTCGCAAAGAACTCGACGTTTTTTGGAGAAGGGGAAAGCTTTCACGTAATACTCGTGCCTTGAATCTTATCAAGATAGGAGATTGTTGTAAGGAAATTTCGATCGACATTTTTGTGAAACCGAGGAAAGGGCATTTGAATTTCTAAAATCAAGAGAGAGAGAGAGAGAGAGAGAGAGAGAAAGAAAGAGAGAAACAGCTAGAGATCCACGTGAGTATTCTCTATAGAACCTTTATCGTTATGTACCATACGATAATGATCGCGAGTCAAAACGTCGCTTTCTCTCTTATAGAAAAAATTTCATAAAAATTTACTAAAATGAAGAATATAATATTTAGTTTATTTCCTTGAATTCGATTTTTTTTTCAAATTTGAGATTTTATTTTTCGATAAATAAATAGCATTTCTTGCGTATATTGTTTAGAATTTAAATACAATTGCCATATGTTTCGTTAACTTCGCAAGTTTTCTTTGCCTTGTCGTATAGAACAACTCAATTTTGACAATTTCTAGTGTCGATTAGTATGTTCGAAGCAAATTATAAGAATTCGTAAAATTTCTGTTGATAATTGATGTGGAAATATGATTCTTTTAGTTATCTCTCCAAAAATAGTGTTTGTATAGAATTACATATATACACATATACACATACAAGGAACATCTTCAATGTACAAAAGAATTGTTTCTGTCTCTGGTATCGTTGTATGTTTTTATCAAGAAACATGTCCTGGAAAAACATGTATTCGGTTATTATCTTTCTTTTTCTTCTTTTCTAGGTCATTCTTTATCGCAGTGTAAGAAATGCAAAGATATCTTTTGATTTTTTCTTCTCTTTATTTGTCCTGTGTCCTAACGTAACTAATATATTTATATACATATATATTCATGTATGTATGTATGCAAAAATGTTTTCCGGTACTGTTCGGAATAAATTTGGTCAAGCATAATAGATGACGAGTGTTACTTTCATATTTCTGTATCAAGTGCTTTGACATGGAGTGCAAGTGACATTTGATAATCAAAAAAATCGAATTTGTTTCATGTTCGTAAATTTTTTAAATATTTATATACGTATATGCATAAATATTGTACATTGATATTTTATCAAGTACTATGAAGCCTTTTGGTACAAAGCAAAAAATAACACTTGAAAATTGGAAAAATTCCATTTGTTATAATTCATATTATTTTTTTAAATAAATATATGTATATAGGTATATAAATATTATGCATCTATATTCTCATATGAAGTCTCTATTTTAACACAAAGTAAAGAATAATATTTAAAAACCGGATTAATGAAATTTGTTAAATATCCTGTATTTTTTGTGTGTAATATATATGCATTATATATTTGAGAAGCACATAAATCGTTAAGTATATTTTCTCGACAGAAGAAGTTGAAATTTGTTGACTTTATCATGTGGTATTCTTCTCATCTGTTTCGAAACTTAATCGTACTTCGGTCTATAAGCCAGCTGAGTGTTCAGAAGTGCTAAGTTTGAGTGCATAATAAATTCTTCGCATTACGTTCCTTGCGGTTAACTTCTCACGAATAATCGATCCTATCTTGAAACAGTTTCTGGAAAATTGGGGCTTTTAGAAAAAAAGAAGACCTCGTGTCGATTAAAGATATATCACTACAAGTATTTCTCTTTTAATAAATCGTTATTTTATGTAGAAGTTATTGTTTTTAAATAATTACAGTTTAATTGTTAATATAAAAATGTAATTATTCTTATATTTGATTACACATGAGAAAATATTTCGGATTAATTCATAGAATTGATTTATTTATTATCTTACGCATTATAAATTAATTGATTATAATACTTATTTAATAATTTATTTAAAAGTAAATACAAATTTCATGTCAAATGTACTTACTTTGAAAAAATAATGAGCAATATTTTTCGAAAGTATTTCAGGTGAGGAGGATTTAGAAAACGTGGCGAATAGTTAAAGGAGTTGCGGGAGAATAGGAAAATAAGGAGGGTCGAAGTTCTATTATGAGGGTAAAACTCTTAGTCGTTCATGCTTGGTTAAACGCGTTTAAGTTCAACTTAAGTAAATATGCATTGAGTCTTCTTGCGTGTCGCAAGTTATGATCGATCGTGACTGGTATATATCACCCCTCCACCCTCCTACCCCCCTTTCTCGCACCCATCTTAAGTGGTAGATCTTAATTATTCTCGTAAATCTTGTCGTATTCAGCTTCTAAGACATTATTCGTATACACATGACTTCTCTGTAATTACATTTGCAAATGTATTTTCCCAATATTATAATGTTTAATTAAGTTATTTTTCTTTTGTTTTTCTTTTCTTTCTTTCCCCTTTTCAAACTTTTATCTTATTTTTCATCGCATTAAAAGTTTATTATTCTTTACGATTCGGTAAATACGAAAAAAGCATATAGTATATATGTATATATCGGGATGATGCCATTGGTAAAACCATCGATCGTCCAACTTTGAAATTTTTCCATCTTTACGGCTATCTACCTTGTCACCAAGTGCATCCAATTTCTCATATGGCGCATATGTTTTTCTCTTATCGTCGCTTGAGACATATCGTAACTCACAACGAGATTCTCCCTTTGAAATTTATAAAATGCCAACGTTCGATTTATATATTTCTAGATTTTTCATTAGACATTTTACAAAATATGTTCTTTAAATTGTTCGATACTTAAATTACTTATTTAACAATCTGATTTTACAAAGGTTAACTATTTACTCGATTTGTATATTTTTATTAAAGTTTTACATTTCCAGATTTAGAATATCGTGTCGAGGGTAATCGATATAACGGAAATCGAAGATGAGCGTCCCAGACAGATTTGGTAATCTTATCGATTTGATGAATTTTAAGATGTCTCATCTTTCTATTCAGAATGCATGAACGAGACAGCTAAAAGGTCATCTCATTCGGCCATCGCAGTTTTGTGAAGTAGTATTTTCATTTTATGGAAATAGCCCAGTAAAGGCTTTCTTTTTCTTTCCTCTTCTTTTTTTCCTTTTTTTTTTCTTTTTCCTCTTTAAGTCTGACCAAAAGTTATTTTTATCGTTTCCAACGTTGTCTCGTGTTGCCAACCGCAATATACGTAGGCTGTTTTTTTTTCCCTTACCAATAGTAGCACCAAGTTTCTCCACGTAAAAGCAATTTCCTATGCAATATTCAATGTCGAGCTTTTACTACGCAAGAGGGATAGCTGGTTTTACGTGTTGCGTGTACGACTTTTCATGTCGTCGTCGTCATCGTCTTCGTCAAATAATGGTACTTTCGTGAGAAACTAAATGTCCTATTGTTTGTTTAAATATCTTATTACGTCTTTTCCCGATTTGAGTTCTTTTTTTCTTCTATTATTCATAATATATATATATATATATATGTAGAAGTTATTTATTTTCTTAAGCTAAAATGTAATAAGTATTTATCGAAGGTATTTATATTAAGATCAAAAGAAGAAAAATAAATATTAAATAGTCTGACATCTCATTTGTCAAGTATTATCAAAAAGTATGTTTGCGAGGATTATTGAGAGTCTTTTATTTATGATTTTTCAAACGATTCAAGATTATGCCATTGTACGAACGATATGAAAAATTATATCATTTTTTAAAAAGAATGTGCGAGCTAATGCATTTACTATTTACGATATATCGTAAAATATCTCTGTGTATTTCTGCTAATGTCTTATCCACTTCGTTTATTACAGTTTTTCTCGAGGAATAACGATTCCTTCGATGCTATGTAGTAGACTTCTTTCGTTGCCAAATGGCGGTGACTCTTTTGAGAAGTACTCCTTAACGAGCGAAGCAAAAATTTCCAACGATATCATCCCGTAAGTGTTAATTCTTTAGAGAAAAAGAAAAGATCTCAGTGTGAGATAGGAATATACGTTTTTGATCTACCTACTCTCAGAAATTAAACTTTATCGATTCTAGTTGTCACAATGTGATTTATCGAGATTAGTTTTTAAAACCTTTATTTGTGTAAATATAAAAATATCGTATTTGTTAAAGGTTCTTTGTAATCTTTCTTTTTTATCTTGATGCTTCGAAGTTATTTGTTAATTAAATTATTTTGTATATTACAGTGGATTTCGAAAATTCATTTTTAGCAGATATTCGAAATAAATATTTTCAAATAATTCAGTTCGTTTTAAAGATATTTTTGATTGATGA